ACCCCATATATGGAATATAATTACTTACATTATTCGGGTAACTTTACGTGTGGTAACTTAATACCTTATAGACGTAGGTTTTTGTGCATATTTCATTTCGCTACTGCAAATCAGTTAATCGACTTAGAAATTTCCCTTATTTTAATTTTAAAATGATAGCCGACTTCTCGGTTGACTTTAGACTATATGAATAGTTTAGTTTTAAAGATATCTCAATAAAAATTCGATCGCTATTACCTACACTAACAACCCCTAGCTGTCGTTTTGAAAATGAGCAAGAAATAAAAGTTGTAATACTTTGTAAACCTCTTTTTACTTCAATAATATATAATTTGTTGAAATATAGGGAGAATATTAACTACCTTGAACTTTCACATCATTGACTTATATTCCGATATTGATATTTGTATGTTTATCTTTATATTCCACATTACTTAACGGTATTTAAGTAATATTTATTGCATATAATACCTAGTTCAGAGTATTTTTAATCGTTTCAGCTCTAGAAACTGGAAAATATTACAATAACATCAAATTACATTTAGGTATGTAATTTAAAAAATATTAATTTAATAGTTTGCACACGCGCACTTGCTTGCTAAATAACAACAATTAAAAAGTGATAACTTAAAAATGAGTCTTTATTGATTAAAGAACAAGAGAAAAGAATGTTTTCTTTCAGTTTCAATATAGTATATACGTGACTTTTTTGAAGACACTATTTTGATGATTTTTGCCTCTACAAGGTTGCACCATATAACACAATTGAGGGCGAAGGCTAATTCGCAAAGTAACGGCTTCCTCTTTGTTTTTTGTGGTCGGCCGCGACTGCTTCCTTGCGGATTCCAGCCAACCGATATTTTGTTCCTGCTGTCTGCAGTCTTTCTCAGAGTATGTCCAGCGCCACTTTCTATGCTTTATTTTGTTCAGTACGGGTTCCCCTCTCGTCAACCTCCATAACTCTCAAGTTTTGGGCCAGAATATTTTGCAAATGATTCGTAGGAACTTGTTGAATGTATGAAGTCTCTGGGTGATGGAGTTGGGGACCAGTCGTGGTTCGCTTCCATACAACAGCGTCGACTTCTCGTATGCGGAGCTTAGTGCTTCTAGAGATTTGTGAGCTTGCCTACACCGATTGCAGCCGTCTAATCGCGATTACTACTTTTTACTATTAATTCTTAAGTAATTTTTCCCAGAATTCAACTGATTTAATTCGGCGCTGATATGCAGTAGCAGTAGAGGTTCAAAGTGCCGAAACTTGATTTTTAAGCCCTTTATTTTAAACCATTTCAATAAACTAATTCATATCAATAAATTTTGCTAGGCAGTAATGCTAAAATGCAACCAGAAAAAATGTTAACTTTGGTTGCAATGAAGCTAAAATACCCTTCACAAATACAAAAATTTCTTAGAAGAACATGATTCCGATCGTTCAGCTTGTATGACAGCAATATGCTATAGTAATTCGATCTGAATAATTCCTTCGTAGATTCGATTATTGCTTTAGATAATAATTCGTTTCAAATTTCATGAAGATATCTCGTGAAATGAAAAGGCTTTCCGTAGAAAAACTTGATTCCGATTGCTCAGTTTGAATGGCAGCTATATGCTATAGTGACATAAAAATAGGCAGCATCTTTGTGAGAAACGGTCATACGCTAAATTTAAGATCGATATCTCAAAAACTAAGAGACTAGTTTGCGTACATACAGACAGACGGACGGACAGACAGACGGACATGGCTAAATCAACTCATCTCATGATGCAGATCATTTATGTATACACTTTATAGAGTCTCCGACGTTTCCTTCTGGGTGTTACAAACTTCGTGGCAAACTTAATATACCCTGTTCAGGGTATAAAAATCAAACTCATCGTATATTTTGTTACTACTTCAAAAAAAAAAACAAAACATGAAAGACTATAGGCCAATAAACCGTATATATACATATTATGTTTAAATATATACTAGTTTCCTAAACAAATACTAAAACAAAAAGCAACAACTAACATATAAATTAGAAGTGCAAATAATGTAATCAGTGTGTGAATTGGTGAGGCCTATCCACAACTTCATTCAAAGCTATCGGCACATTAACATCAGCATGCCGGGGAATACATATGTATTTACCATTAAAAAAAACAGAAAAACAATAACATATTCAAATCTAAAAATACTTCGAAATTTAAAGTGCGAACTTTTGAAATTTTTGGCCGTTTAAGTTTATTGCCATATTTATAATATCTTAGCTTAGGTCTGCAAACTAAAGTTTCTTTGAACCAATTAAGGGCAGCAACTGAATTGGTTTTTACAAATTTTAGCCACCAGATTATTATTTGATTTTCATAAATAGATTTAGATGGAGGCCAATTTTTTTTGGTATCCGTATTTATAAACAATTTTGTTGTTTGCTTTATAAAAGAAATTCAAATTTGGAATTTGTTTGAATGGTTTTTGTTAGTCAGTTGTGAATTTACTTATGTGCAAAGTTCGAAAATAAGTTGTAAGTAATTTTGATCATTAGAAGTTGGTCGCATTTATAAAGCTCTTAATTAATTGACTAAGCAATGTTAGACTTATACGTACATTTATGCACTGAACAAGACATTTCTCGATCGCCGGAATGCTGAACATCATCAACGATCTCAGAGATTCAACCATAGCTAGATTTTGGTGATAAGCTGTCAGGTATAAATCCCCTGTGATGTCCCATACCATGATATGTACTGCTGGAAAACATAATTCATTAAACAAACGGGTGTATACGGTGACTATTTATGGGGTCTCCGACACTTCCTGTTGGATGTTAGAAACTTCGTAGCAAACTTTATATACTCTGTTCAGGGTATAAAACTGTATATAAAATGTAATTGGCAAAAAAACAAGTCAGAGAGAGTTAATTCTGAAAATCTAGGTGGTTAGTCAAAATATAATATTTAAACAGTTGAAGTGTTCCGGTTCCCTAATTAGTTTATTCTACATAATATCACAAACTTCTGAAGCTATATCAGTCAAATATCCTGACGATGAATCCTTTTGGTACCTCCTTAGACGGTGTGAAATCGGATTGTAACTACGCCCACTCCCCATACAATAGTTACGATGAAAACCACGAAATGCGCGAATGTCAAGATCGTAATCCAACCTATAGGATTATTCTTTGAACGAAAGTTATGTGCTGTCCTTTTAATTTTACTTCGTTAATATCGTGTAATACAAATAAATTGAGAAGAAGAATAACTTTTATGACTAAATAAACTAAAATAGAATATCATCAGATTTCTCTAGTTGACCGGTCCAAACTAGGGTAAATTTTTTAACAGGAAGAAGTTGAAAAATCTATAAGAGGCTTGAAAGAGCATTCAAAATAGTAGGATCTTAAGTTTCAGACGGGAACAAGACATTTGAGAAAAGACATATTTAAATATTAGAGGAAATATTAATAGTTGGTATTATATAGGTACATATTGGATCCATAATAATATTTGTGCGTTGGTTAGCACGATTTAAAAGTGGTGATTTTGTCTTGGAAGACGAAGAACGTCCTGAAAACACAAGAATAGTTCGCGAAATCTTTGGGATTCACTCAAGCAGCCTTTTCAAAACCTTTGAATGCAGCTGAATAAATTCCAAATCAAAGAAATGTTTCTGCATAGGATTGTGGCTAGTGATGAAAAGTGGATCCGATACTATAACCTTAACCAAAAAAAATGATATGTGAAATCTGGCAGTATAGCCCAAACCTTGCCACTCACAGCTTACATCAAAGCGGGTTATCAAAAATAGGCTTGATTCAGTTTTGGTCTAGCCAGCGCAGTTCTTTTAAGATGGACTCCTCATACTGCCAAAGTTGGAAAAAATATATATTCAGATAAGAAATACTTTGAATAATACATTTACATGTCTTTCTTAAATAAACGTTCAACTTTAAAGAAAAAATTCCGTACGAATGTAGTTACAGACCCAATACATTCGTTTTCATAGCTATTTGATAAAAAAAAGAACTTAAAACATTTTAAGTGGTAAATAAAATACTTTAGCTAGATATCTAAAAAAAATATTAGAAATGTGACTCCGTGTTGAGTTGTGAAAAAAATGTTGGTTATTTGGTGGATTCGTTAAGGGTTCATACATTTTAAATTATAACAGCACTTTTACCTCCTCCTTCCACTTGTCACCCTTTCTGTATTGCTTCAGCAACGATTTTTCAGTTTTTGTTGTTTACAGCAACAAACAAATATGACCAAATAACAGTAATAGCAAATTAATGTGTACAAATCCACTTGCTTCTACTCACACAAACACACAAAGAAGTGGAAGTATGTTTTCGGCACAACAGCAACAAAAGTTGACTGCTCAAGAACAGCGCTAGAAGTGGACAAACACGAATGGCGTTCACTTACAAACGATCGGACACGAACTCAATTAAAGTTATAACAGTGTTTTCGCCAACTTATGTGTGTAGTGGTGATGCCTGACACCTCGGCAACCAAAAGATCTCAAAAGCAAATACAAATACAAACACAAACAAAAGCACCAACACAAACACCCTTATCTTTGCTTACAAAAACAAAATCGACTACACCGCTTACTGTGCTGCTGGCGTCGCTGCTCGTGCAGAGCTGCTTGACTGCTTCGTCGTTTTGATTATCTTTCGCATTGAAGGCGATCGCCAACCGACTACCGGTGCTGATTCTGCCGCCACAGCTGCTTTGGCAACAACTTCGTTTGACTTTTGACTTTGCCAGCTTTTCTTTGGCTTTGTTTTTCGACTTTTGTAATTATTTGGTGTCGCTGTATGCGACTGCGCTCCCTTTCCGTATTAAGTTAATTAGATGTTGTTTTCCATGCTGATGTTGTTGTATTGGCTCGTATTAGCGATCGTTCAGCTGTGCGTCAGCTCCTAGCGCTGCGTTCTCTGCGCCGGCGCCACTGCTACTGCCTTCTAGTCGCTGTGTGCGTTTTGTGCTTTTGTACTGCAATTCGACGGCGTCTTCGCGCGTTTGGCAAAAAACATTTATTTTATCTTGCGATTGTCGAGAAGTTTTGCAGTCAGTTGAGCATAAACATTCATACGGTGCGGTTTGGTGAAACAATATTAGCAAAAGCGACTAACAAGCGACTACATATTGTTCAATACAAATCAGAAAAATTTGGATTTTAGAATTTAGTGGATTGTACGTGGTGGCGTATACGTAACATTTAGTATTTAGAATATTCTAAATAGAATGTGCTTTCTTCCCGTGCAAACGAATTGCTAAAAAGTTTATAACCATTAAGAAACAAAATAATAACAAATTTCCAATGCACCAGAAACGACTTCAGTTCAATTTTGTGCTGTTTTGTTCTAAATAAAAAAAAAATATTTAAAAAAATTCTCAAAATTTTACAATAAATATTTTTTATATTCTTATTTGCAAAAAGTGCATAGAATGGACTATTTCGTAGCATTGCATGTGTGCGTGTGAGTGTGCGGAACAACAAATACAACTATATATCGCTTAAAAGTGCATATATATCCTTATATAGTGAGCAGTTTTACCGAGGAATTTCGTCTCAAACGAATTACAACATAAATATAAAAAATTAACTTAAGTGACGATATATTAACGCCTATTAAGTAATTCACCAAAAACGCACTCAAAATGAATAGCAACATAACTTCGCGCTTCGACATGGCCGCTGAGATTGCGACCATAGCATTGGACGAATTCAAATCGCATCATGTTGATTGGAATTACACGGGACTGATACAACGCTATTACCATTTGGTAGAGCGAGATTTCGGTGGTATGTATTGGTGACACATATAAAATGAAATTCAAATGCAAAATATTGCAATATATTATGCGTGATATTGTCATGTAATTTGGCGCGTAAAAGCAAATAGCTGATAAATATTGTGCTGAGGGAGTAGAGTGAAAAAAATTCAAAGTTGAAGAAGAAAAGAGTCAAAGAGATATAAAATTGTATCAATATATTTGTTGCGAAATAAAATACAAATTTTAAAAAATATTATTAAAAATAGGTATCCGGAAAGACAACCTGTAATCCAAATTCTTGAAAATGCTGTTTTATGAAATATATGAAAAAAGAGAAAAACCATATTCTTAAATAAAAAATCATGTAAATAAAAAACATTAAGTGTCGCAACAAATTAAAAAGATTAAATAGATAGCCATAGTCTTGCATATGAAGGTAATAAATTTGCGAAATTTCTCGAATAATCTTACGAAATACAAAATAGCAAATGTTTTGAACTAAAAAGGGAGTAGAACGTCGTTATACCTTATAATGTTAAATTTGTTATGATTTTAAACTTTGGAGATGAAAAATTAAGAAATCATAGAAAAATTTCTTCTAATCATTGCGAACCCTTGTTGTGCCTGTGCATATATTTCTTATAGGAAAACACTTCCAAATTTAATTTGCTTTTTGGAGTTAACTTAGAAGGTTGCCCAAAAATACCTACTTTCACGGTATAACTGTGTCAAGTTAAAGTTGAAGTTCAATTCATCTTAAGCCTGATAACTCCGATTCATTAAAAATTTTGATATCTATTATAATTGTCGGTTACAAACAACATTTGTTCTACGATTTTTCTTAAAAATTATTATTTTACATTTTACAGAATGTTTTATTGGTTGGTTCTTTAAGAAACAACTGAGGTGCTCATTTTAAGTATATATTTTTACGAAAATCCATATTTTATTGAAATTTGATTAAAATTTTTAGTAAACTGATAAAAGATACAATTATGGAAATTTTTCTGTGACCAAAAACAAAGAGATATACCACATTTTATGCAATAAATTTTTATTTTATAAAATTAAAATATAAATTTTTAAAATTTTTATCAAACTAAATTGTAATAACGATGAAGATTCCAACTTTTCAGCACTAATTAATTACTATTACTTTCGCACTAGTCTTTTACAAAATTTTTCTTAAAATTATTTTTTTGATGCACTCTTTCTAAAGGTAAATGACTAAATTTTAATGGATATATCAAAGCAACATGTCACGTGATTATACATGAAAATTTACTAATATTTTGGGACATTTTAAAAATAAAAATTTGCGTAATTCTACTCTTTTTTTGACAGCTCAGAAAAGTTAAAAAAAAAAAAATTTTCCTTTAAGCAAAACTACTTCTACATCTTCCAATAACTAAAAAAATATGTTTATTAGCTTAGATCTTCAGTCTTAAACAGAACAATAATGCGAAATAAATTTATGTTTTCGGTCAAACTGAGTTGCTTCTTAGTGAGAAAAGGACATTTGCAAAAGTTCAGATCGGTAGCTTAAAAACGGAGGGCTAGTTTTAATATATACAGACAGACGGACATGGCTAAATCAACTCAGATCATCATGCTGATTATTTATGTATTTATATATTTTATAGGGTCTCAAACATTTCCTTCTGGGTATTACAAACTTCGTGGCAAACTTAATATACCCTGTTCAGGGTATAAAAATCCTTCACGAACAAAATGATCAAACCTAGTTAGCCCAAGATGGTTTACAACCATATTCGTGCATTGTTTTTTTTTTCAAAATTTTAACGCTAATTTAAGAAAAACATGTATTGTATTATTTGACGTATTGCTCACTGAAGCTTTAACATTTTCTCATCTTTCTGACAATTTTAATGATCAAACAGTTATCGCGTTGTGTCCAATTGCAAATTCCGGTGTTTGTTATTGTCGGCAATATCACCATTAATGGTTTCGCCGGTTTAGAAGTAAAATTACAGCACGTTCTTTTGTTCCCACGAAATATAGAGCATTACCCTGGCTCTTTCTTTAATTCATATGCTTGGTATTCAAAAAATTCTGCGAGGTCCTCTTGTCTTTGGCAAACATCTTCATCATCAGGAATTCTTCTAGTTCATCATCTTCAAACTTTTTGACAGCCCAGTACGTTCTTCGTATTTCAAGCCAAAATCTTCCCTTTCAAATCGTGCTAACCACTTTTAGCACGTTCGCTTAGCTAGAGCGCATTCATACACATAAAAATGAATAACAACTCCCGCAAAAATACTTTTGGGGACAAAGTTCGACATATTTGAGTGAAAACAAGAAAAAACGTTAACGTCGGTTGCACCGAAGCTATAATGCCCTTCACAAATATAATACAAAGGCCCCTTACAAGAACTTGATTCCGAACGTTCAATTTGTATGGCAGCTATATGATATAGTGATCTGATCTGACTTTTGCGGAGAATAATTTATCGTATCACCGTTTTTGCGGAGAATAATTTATCGTAAGCGATAACTCGTGCCTAATTTCGAAGATATCTCGTCAAATAAACAAACTTTTCCATGCAAGCAATTTACTCCGATCGTTCAGTTAATATGGCAGCTATATGTTATAGTCATCCGATCTCTACAATTTCTTCGGAGATTACACTATTGCCTTAAATAATAATTCATGCCAAATTTCGTGAAGATACCTCGTCAAATGAAAGAGTTTTCCATACAAACACTTGATTCCGATTGTTCAGTTTGTATGGCAGCTATATGCTATAGTGGTCCGAGATCGGCCGCTCCGACAAATAAGCAGCTTCTTTGTGAGAAAAGGTCAGGTGCAAAATTTCAGATCGATAAGTCAACTTAGCTTATCGTGCTGATCGTTTATGTATATATTTTATAGGGTCTCCAACGTTTCCTTCTGGGTGTTACAAGCTTCGTGGCAAACTTAATATACGCTGGTTAGGGTATAAAAAAGTGAGTGAAAGATGCATAAAGCCAACGTCAAACGCATGTGGAATATTGAAGAATGAATATAATTGAAATTCGTAAAGTATTTTAAAGGAAATAATACCAACAATGACTCAAGAGAAAATAAAATAATAATATTTTCGGCTTTGGTTGCCGTTGGTAAAGTTTTAAGTAAAAGTTTTCTTATATGTATTATAATAATAACTAATATCAGTTCCAAATTGATTTATTTTCCAATTAAATCTCTGTGTATCTAATTAATAAAATATAGCAGAAAGTGAATATCAATCGAACAATGCCTTCATAGTGAATCCTTTGTTTTTTGCTATCAGTAGAAGAATTAATAAAAATTAATCCAGAAGTTCCTAGAAAATAATTATATAAGAACTTTAGACTGTTAATTTTAAAATAATTATTTCGTTCTACATAAATTTATTTCCTAAACAGTCCATGCAAAATAAATCAATTAAGTGTACATTTCCTAATATACGTCTGTGTGTAGCTAATAATTGTACTTATAGTATGTGCAATAACAAGATACGCAATTAATTGTTGAGTGCAAAAAATCCCCTTTAAACTAGTCTGCGGGCTATTAGAAATGCACAGAATTTCCACAAAGCGTAGAATTGCGCATTGATAATGTAGTTTTATTTGAAAAACTTAAACTCCGCAATATACACAAAAAATTCTTATGAGTCGATACAAGTAATGACTTGAGTAATGTGTGCAAATAAACAAATGTGTGTTGGTTGAAAGGCGCAACCAATGCATGAGTGGCCGCAACAAAAAATCGCTTGACTAAAACGCATATTTAGTACAAGATGCCACTAGTTATTTAGCTGTGTATGTTTATTTCTTTGCAAATTGTATAGTAAACGTCAATTATAAGTATGCTTTACTACACTATGCCGGTTAAACAGAGAATTTACTACAAAAAATGGCAACAACAAAGCATTTGTGACGGTAAAACAAAGTTCATAAATCAGTTGAGTTGACATAGAGCTGCAATTAAGAAGTATTACCGCGCACTTAAATGCTCGCGCGTCTAACTAAACTCAGCCGCTTGCCCGTGTGCCAGGGTCAGTGACGCGCGTAAAGGGTTAAGAAGGCAACTAAAACATTTAAGTGCAGTTAAACTAATGTTTCATAGACTAATGATGAGGAAATGTAAATATGGTTGTTACTTCCATTTCAAAAAATTTTTTCAGAGCACAAAGCTTTTTTTGATATTTTTGTACAGCCAATAACGATTCCGCGAACTGCCGATTGGGTTTATGTTTCATCTGTTCGAAAACTTTTTGTTGGTATAACATATTTTTACGAAATTTTGAATATATTATTACTTAAGACAATGATGTTATCGCCGAAGAAATTGTTCAAACTCTTCGTAATAAATTTTTTTTCATTATTTCCCAACTTTTATTTGAAAAAGAAAATTGTTACCAGTACAAAAGAAAGTCATAAAACACATACAATTATGTGTGTGCTGTTCTTAGAAGATTTTTATAGATAACTCATTCAGGTACAAAAACTCAGAAATTCTCAAAAAAAATTTTACAGTACTTTTTACCATTTTTTATATTTGCATAAAGAACTCCAATCTACAAACAAATTTTTTTTAGTTCCAAATTCCAAAGGTAAGTTGAAGTCATAAACAATAATAAACAACTTTGCCATCGAAGCAGCGTTGAACTTGAAAAATATACTTTATAACCACTTATAATATGTATTATGCCCTTTACCATATCCATACACATGAGGCGTGTTAAAAACCTAACTACATTTACATGAGCACACGATCAGCACCGGCCTTGACAATGCCGAAAATTTGCAGTGGACACTTGCTTCTGTTATCTGCGACAATTATTACCGCAATTAAATGTCATTAATAATGTGAAAAAAGACTAATAATTGTCAATTTCCTTCTTTTATTGTTTTGTTATGATATATATATGTATACTAACCAACATACACATACACAACTGTGCGTAGTTTTTTATTTTATTTCTTTATGACTTATTTATTCCCATCCCCATTTTTGACGTTGCTAGCTTCTCAATGTTTGTGGGCATCTGAGCATGCAGCCACCTTATATGTTTGTATGTATGCGCATATTTACAGTTTTTACTGCTTTTTAATCTTTTAATTAGGTTTTTTCATATAAATATATATATGTCTTTCTGCCATTATACGCACTGTTGTTGAAAAGTTTAACGGCGTTTATTAAATATGGCAAACACACCAATTTTTTATACATCAAAAGTGGTTTTCAATGTAAAAAATTATCAAACGCTCAGAAAAATTATAAAAGATCAGCAAAAATTTTTGCATACAAATAATACCTTGCTTTGACTGCATGCTCATCAACACAAAAGACTTAAGACACAAACTTTTCGCTAAATTTACATTAAAATGTATGCAAAAGAGACGCTGCGTGTATTAATGTGGCGTTAATTGTATAAACGATTTATAATGTCTATAATAAAATATGATATTGAAACTAAATTATTTACTCAGAAGCACATCGTAAACGTAGGCAATAGTTGTTCACCCTCTACTTTGAATTTGTCCCTCAACGGCATAAGCGTAATATTGGTGTACTGTACTCTAGTGAAGACACTAAACATATGCTTAACAGCTAAAAATGCTGTTTTAGTTGCACCTGTAGTCGCAACGCACATGTTTATTTGCATATACAATAACATTATAATAGCAGCTTCCAATCTTATTCCTAACAACATTATTCAACTACGAGTATGTGCGTTCGTATTCTTCGTCCAAGAAATAAAGTTCATATTGCGCAAGCGGTTACTACAACGACAGCTGCCCACGCCTAGTATATACAAATACACAGATATATATATATTTATTAATAGATTTGTTTGTTTCCATATACCGCATTCGTGAAAGAATGCCTAGCTTTGCAATAGTTTAATAAGACAAAATCGTTTACACATAGGATGATGTGAGCAAACAAGTTTAACTTACGTGCCTTACCGCGACTCCTAGATCTTATTAGATACTTTGCAACTATTTGCATGTAGCACATCTAAACAATTAATTGTTCAAATGTCAAGTAGCAAGCTATATCTTAATCAAAAACAATTGTTGAAAACATTAATTTATGGAAATAATAGTGCTAGTAGCTATTGAGATTTATATCTACAGAAGTGTGAACATTTTTTTTGCATTTGAAGACAGAACATAAAAACAAATTCCACACGTAAGATACTATGACAAATAAATATAATTCAAGCATGTTGAAATTTTTAAAAATAAAAATTTATATAGAAGCAATTTTACAACAAAAATAATAAACAATTATAATAAATATAAAAACAACTTAAATCTTTAACAGGTGTTTAGTCTATGTCACTAGAAAACAGCCAACGACGTTATATTAATGATAATTTATATAAATAATAGTAATAAACTATTTTTTAATATACCTTCATAATATTAATATAATAAAACAAGAACAAATTTTAAACGATCTTTAATAAAGATTTTTGTTTTGATTTTGATCGGTCAGTTTGTATGACAGCTGTATGCTGTGTATGGTAATCCGCTCTTAACAATTTGTTTGTCTGGAGATTTTTATATTGTGCCAAAAGACAAGTGGCGCGTTTACCTATGTAAATTAGTCAGTTCTAGAAACAGAAAAAATTCACAAGGAGCCAAAAATTGCGAATTCGGTAGCTGAGCAATGACTCTCGTTTCGGGTTCGTTTTCTTTTGCCTCTAGTCTAGCCTTGCCACCCTTCATACCCAAAGTTAATTACAAATTCTGCTTCACTGGCCTGAAAAGAACTACGTTGTTTTTTTCTATAACTTAATCTGAAATTAAATTTTTTAATGAGGAGAAATAATAAATATTGGACAGCTTGCTTCAACTTACATTACCCTAGTATACAAATATTCATTAAAGTGAGATTATAAAATATAGAATGGTATTGGTAAATACATAAACGCTTCCACAAACGATTACATAATCACAATGGCAATTAAGTATATTAAGTAAATAATAGCGTATTAAATGTTATTTAATTCTTATTACACGCGATATTAAACCGACTATTCTTAAGCCCTTACCAAGTTATGATTACATATAATTTAAAATAAACATCTTTTAAGTTCAGAATCATTAAGTAAAACATTTGAAATGCTTAAACACACGAAGGTCACGAGATCATACAAGTTCACAAAAAAAGCTCTTTTAATTCTAGTGCCAGTGGCCAAAAAATTATTTGACCTCCTTGCATTTGTATATGTCCATAACTTGGCTTTATGGAACAGTAAAAACCCAGTAACTAGTCTCAAAGATTCTTCCTCAAGACTATATTAATTTTCTATTTTTTTGCTAAAAAGAATCTGTAAATGCAATCGCAAACCTATCAACTATCTATAATGTATATATAAATAAAATATATTTTGAAATTTTTGACTTAAAATTACCAAAATAGTAAAATTGTGTAATCTGTTGAAAAGTATGCGACTAAAGGTGGTTTCAAACGTCTAAAATAATTCTTAAGATATTATACTAGAATTATAGTAGAATTTATACCTTAGAAAGAATATATTCGGTGGTGGCTTTAGAAAATATTTTCTATATAGAACCAGTTTTATATCTTGCTAAATCGGTTTTAAAAAAAAAAAATCAAAAATGGTAATTATCATCACTTTTAATGCTTATTTGTTGTAAATCTACCTATTTCCTTTTCAGATCCCCGCGCCACACGTTTCCCCCTAATGGAGAATCCCCTTTATACATTCGGATTGGTTGCCATATACCTATCTTGGGTTCTATTGATTGGACCAACATTCATGCGCGACAGAAAACCCTTCCAACTGCGTCGTACATTAGTCATCTATAATGCCTTTCAGGTGGCGTTAAGCGCGTACATGTTCTACGAGGTGAGTGTGACCCAATAAGCAAATGGAAATCAAATTGATTATTTATGCTTTTTTCTTATGCTAAGCTATGGAGGCATATAAAATTGGATTTTAAATATAGATAAGTGCTGTAGTCAATATAGCTTTATCACAGTTAATTACCCAAAACCAAAGACTCATTTAGTACGTATATAAGTATGTACACATTGGTACTTCATATCCCTTTCGAACTCTTTGCAAAATTATAAATAAAATGTATATGTGAATTATATTCAACTTAGAATTTGCAAAAGTACTTTTATTCATACTTATACGTTTAGCTAAAAAAGAGATAACTATAATGAGAAGCTATACTGCTAAGTGTAAAGAGTAAAATATAAACCATTCACATTTTGGGAGGTATCCAAAAAATTAGTTGTATGCCTTGTAGGTATACTTTTAGTACATATACAACTTTTAGCCAACATTTTTGTGAGATCTAAATACTCGACTTGCTAATTATTAAAATTTTTGGTATTAAATCGCAACAACGTTAAGCATTTTTTTTCAATTTTTTACATTTGTATGGTTTATAACTTAATGCCTTGAAGCTTCTGACCTCTTAGGAGAACTTAAAGCAAATCTTAATTGGTTACAAAATAAATTCAGATAAAATTACATTAACTTGCAATACAATTTAGGTTACCTTAAAATTCACAACGGGATTGGCCTATTAAGTCAGCAAGGTTGCAAATAATGCAATAAAAAAATTCTTTATGTTTTGAATTTAAATTAAGTTTTTCCTATACTGTAATATCGAAAAATCTTTGAATAAGTAAAAAAAAATAAAATTATAACATATGTTTAATTTAAAAACAAATAAATTTACTATTTTTAATTAAGTTTTTCCAATTAAAACTTTAATTTTCAACTTTTAGTCACCAACTTTTGGATTAAAAATTAACTTTTCATTGCCCAAAATTGGAATTTAAAATTGAAAATAAAATTTTTAATCCATGGTTTTTAATGCAATGGCAACCCTGTAAACCAGTGACTTTAAGAATTCTATAATAAAAATTAACAAATAATACTATTCGGATATTAAATTTACAAAAAAATATTTATATTTTTACAGCACCTCATGGCTGGTTGGCTCAACAACTACAATTTGAAATGTGAACCCGTGGATTACTCTGATGGGCCAATGTCAAAGCGGGTGAGTGATGCGTATATTCTTATACTCGTATATTACAGTTACATTAATGTTACAAAAAGGTAGATTATATATATTGATAGACTATTATATAATACTCAACATCAAGTTTAATTTTTCAAAAATAATGGGTTACTGCCTAGAACTATATAAAAACTTTCTTTCACACATTATTCGGTAAAATCTTAACTAAATATGGATTATTTAGCCATATGAACTCACTTCTCAACATGTCGATATTTCTTATCTGTTTTCTATTCAAAGTGCTTCAAGATCGTATAAGAAGTTGTATAGTGCGCTGAATTAAAGAACATAAATATTACAATAGTCATAAAGTTTCAATGACTAATTTCGGCCCTCGTTCTGGAATTCGTGCTCAAATTTCTCATAAAATAAATTTTAGGGAGAATAAGATAGTGCAAAGAAATATATTGGATAAAATTTCTTTATGACCAAGGAAAGTATAATTCATTTCGTAATCTATACTTTAACCAAGATGACTTGATCAATTTACCCAATCACAGAAAATTAAAATAGTGAAAATGAAGATGCTTAAAGTTCTGAAAATGTCTAATTTACCTGTTTTGTTTTTACATAAGACAGTGTAGTCTCACTAAACTCATTACACATCAATAGTAAACATACCAAACCGCACGCAGCCAACTGCTAAAAGTATGATCCAACAAAAATTTCAATTACCATATTTTAAACTTCGGCCGCACACTTTTTAGTTTTCAACCGATTAGCTCATGTTTGTTTTCGTCACCAACTTTCAAGGTTGATGTATGGCAAAAATGCGGTTTAAAACATGCACTCAAACAACTGTAGACTTGAACCCAAACTCATAGAAAGCGATCGGCGCAGAAAAGGGAGAGTTCGATGCGCAATTGGCAACTGAAAACAAGAGATTAACATAACGCGACTAATAGCATTTCAAGCTTCTCGTTTGTTGGTTATGTTTTTCAATGTTTTTTTGTTGGCCATTGCCGCCTTTGTTGCATTTAAACAGATAATTTGTCTTTTGTGTGATCATCTGCCTTTTCACTTATTCTTTTTTACTCTTTTTGTTGATATAAACGGGTATTTTCAAATGATCCGCGCAAGTTCAAGCAAATATTAACAAAATTTAAGATATAATTATTTGCTTAAATTAAATATGAATACATTCATGCGCTGGGTAAACTGCTGTAGAGCTTTAAATGAATTTCTGTATCACAATACTTTTATTTGACAAAACAACAACAACAGCAAATGACTAAAACAATTTGCATTTAATATACATTTCGTTTTTTGTAATGCCACTAAACCAGTTCTTCCCATTTAATGTCATTGATTTCAAAAATGAAATTTTTTCAGAATTTTTCGATTTAGCACTTTCCCCATTTTGTTTAAAAAATTAAGAAAATATTGAATATTGAATAATTATACACAACTTTTTTAAGTGCCACAAGGGCTTAAAGTGGCAATCACTTGAATGAAATATATTCATATAAAAGTATTGAAAAACCCTTAAACAAATATTTTAAAAAATCATATGCGGATATAAAAAATGTTGAACACAAAAATTTATTTGTTTTAAAACAAAGAATATTTTAAATTTGTCGAATTCAGAATTTGTCGAATATGTTAAAAATTTAATAATTTCCTAAATAAATTTTCAATTCTTTGGCACAAATAGTTGTCTTATAAACAATAAAAAAAATTTATAAAAAAAATTAAAATTTAAGTAGTTACACGACTTACTTGCGAAATGTTGCTGTACATGTGGAGATTACAGTAAACTTCTTCACCTATCCCAACCAAACTCGGTAACAATATTGCAAGTGTAGTAAGTCATGTTAGACTATAACATTAGAATAAAAATGAGCTTAATCACGCGCAGTGTTCCAAAACTATATTTTTGAAAACCCCAAAAGATCATATACACCCTTATTTTCATGCATTCTGCCTTAGTCTGAAAATAAACCAAATTGGACCACAACCACCGCCACTTCACAAATAACAAATCAATTTGATTATTTAACTTTTCAGAGGAACTAAGTCATTAGGAAAATTATTTACCAATATAATATTACCATACTCGTATATGAGAAAATTTCAAAAATATTCGAGTTCTTTCCCCAGTCCTTATATACCGGATTTTATAACATTCGTTGCTCCAACTAACCTTAAAAGACGAATTATGCTAGGTATATACTAACGGTGGGAGAATTAGTTGACCGGTCTTCCACTATCTCACATATAACCAATTAATTGAATTAATTTTGAAATGAACCTGAACTTCATCATATGAAAGCATTGAATTCCGCTGTCAGAGCTTTCGTTTTGAATTTTTTTAGATTTTTCAACAGATGTTATTCGATGACAGATCAAATGATACTCATTGACGTATAAGAATGTCACAAATACATAATAATTTTAATTCGATGAAGACGTATTGGAAAGAATATATAATATATGTATATTAAATTATCATCAACATCAACATCAACATCAGTCAAATGTCAAAAGTTTACATTATAGTTAATATATATGCAGTTGTTATGTAAACAAAGAGGGTTCTGAATCATAATCCTATTAAACTAATTTGTGACTAACTACCATATATGAACACATTTTGACAATGACACAATCAACAAAAAGTCATGACAAAATAATTATACAGTACTTACAACGTCCTAACGCTGCATACCGTCTTTGTTGCCATAATAGCAGGATTTTCTGAAGAAATTATCGTTCTTTTTGTAATAAATGCTAAGTAATTCGATATACGGTTATACTAAATACATACAAACATACACATGTTTGTTTTGAAATGCATGGCTGAGCGCGCGCCAAAATCTCATTGGAGCATTAAATGAATCCGGCAATTTTCGTATACATACCAACATATGTATATATACGCTTCTAATAACGAAAATGTTCTGCATTTATTTTTTACTGCGATTATCTTTTATTTTTGCAAGTAAATCTATATATAATATGTATGCACACTGTTCTGCGCTGAAATTGGCTCTTGTTGTTTATGTAGCAATATTGGTATCCAATTATTATGTTGGCGGTTACTGCGACTTCTTGCAGAACCGCCAACAGCAATCAGTGCCACCGAAGTACTCGTGACAACAAAAAGTAGTTTCTTATAAAATTAGATTTCCTATTACGTTTGACTCTTTTTTTATCTAATTCTGCATAATATTTATAGCTTGCCTACAAATACCTATAGTTCAAGTTCTATTATCAAACATTTTTTCTACCATTGACAGCAGAGACAAACTAATACTATTTTCATGCATAAATAAACATAGGAAGGAAGGCAGAAGACCGAACATTAGAAATAATATAATGAGCAATACATATGTACACAAAGTTTTGTACTAAAATGTTTAATTAATAATAATTCGACAAAATAGATTATCGATCTATTTTATTCTTCTATATGTAAGCTTTATCACTTTTTGCTCGAAAAATCCATTGTAAAGTCATTAAAGCGGTCGGGAATTATTAGAATCAGTCTATGCTGTATTTTGATAGCTAATTAAAGTCCTGAGATTTTTATCGAAAAACCAATGGGATTGAAATTGGTCTTATAGGAGAAGTAGATGGGATTGTGAGCCGACTTAAACACTGTATTAAGAGTTTTTTAGAAAAACAATATACATATTTTTTTTCTTAATTTAATAAGTGGCTTGTAAGATAGTACAATTTAATTTAAATACTTACGGATTGGGCCAAAGAACCCGCGAATTATTTCAATGAGTGAATCGAAACCTTATGCTTTTTTGTCTTTATATCCCTTTTTCTCTCCGTCTTTCTTACTATCTCTTTTCCAATATTTTGATTTACAAAATAAATCATATAAATTTGGCATGTGAGAGAAAAGTACATAAATGCAAAACAGAAACTAAAATAGTCTTAATATATAAATTAAGAGCTTTAGGCCAAATTAAGAGCTCGCCAGTCTACGCATTATTCTTTTTGAATGCATTTTTCTCACTAGTAAAGATATTATAACTCCGAAAGACGTATGTGCCTCCGCTGAATATTCAGAGTCTCACTAAAACCTCGCTTAAAATGTTCGAAAACTAGTCCAGGAAAAATAAAATTTTTAACCAAAAACACGTAAGGAAGTTGTAAGTTCGGGTGTAACCGAACATTTTATACTCTCGCAACTTGCAAGGATCAAAGCCGATAAATTACTTAAGGTGTTGGCAAAATTTTATACTAAAGGAAGTATTGATCCGATTCAACTCATTTTTTACACAAAAACATACTATTATCGAGAGTTTAATTTATTTATTTTATTATATGAATTTCAATTATATATCTTACACATTGACCGAAATTTTCGGTAAAAAGTCAACTATAGGAACTGGGGTCCACATGTTAATGGTTTTCACCTAAAAGTGGGGGTGCCACGCCTACTGTCTAATTTTGAAGTCGGTTCCTATAAAGTCATCTCATACCATCCCAGAGATAAAATTTAATGTCTCTGGCGTGTTTAGTGCTTGATTTATAGCGCTTTCAGTAGTTTTTAACAGTCCCGTTATAAGGGGAGTGGGCGGGGTTGTCACCCGATTTCACCCATGTTTACACTGTCGATAGAGCCGCTAAAAACATTGGCTCTGCACATTAAATATATAAGGGGCGGGACCACGCCCACTTTTTAAAAAACTTTTAAACTGCCGCTCACTAATGTGATCCTGTATACCAAATAACACTAGTATCTTATTGTGGAGCTTAGTAATGGCAATTTATTAGTGTTTGATTAATGGCGTTTTGTGGGCGTAGCAGTGGTCCAATTACTGAAATACTAACCGTCTTACAGTACCAAGAAATATGTGTACCAAGTTTCATAAAGATATCTCAATAGTTACAGCTTGCACGGACGGACGGTCGGACGGACATACAGTCACCCGGATTTCAACTCGTCTCTTCATCCTGATCATTTATATATACATAACCCTATATCTAACTCGATTAGTTTAAGGTGATACAAACAACCG